TCCTTGTAGCATCCTGGCAGGGTCCTAAAAAGTAAATGTGATGAGGTCCTAGGTCAGAGATCATCCCTCCAGTATAGCTGGGTTGGGTCTTTTGAAATTTGCATGCCCAAATATGTTCAGAAACACCTTAGATCATGTTCAGATTACTCTTGTAACCCTTTTTTGCTTCTCTAGAGGAGCACTGAAGGACATCCTTTATGGTTTTTCATGACTTATTTTTAATGCTGCATATTGTTGAGACTCAGCAAGGATGGATTTGACAGGAATTGCACTGTACTGATTAGTTATAAAGAAGAAAATGTCATTATGCTACCTCGGGGTACCCTCTACTGTGAAGATGATTTATCTTGCAATTACTCAATCCCCCCTATTAAGGAGGTCATGCTCACTCATTGGGCCATCTCCATAGGCAACCTATGAAAATGAAGTTATCTTGGATATAGGAGAGATTTTTTTTAAAAAAGTAACTGATTTCAAGATACCATCCTTTAAAATGTAGCATACCATGAACTCATAGCACAGTTCTCTGTTCACTTTTTAAAAGCTTGCAGGACATTTTTATTACAATTAAACATCAGTATCTTTCTCCTTACCTGCAGTATGGGAAGCAGGATTTCCACATGCTTCCAATTAATTGCATTTCTATGAAGACTGGAGATATGCTAGACAGTACTATGCAGCTGATTTAAAGTTCTATACCCATTCTTCTCCACAATTTTGGAAAACTTGCTAGAAATGTTCATGATATACTTGAGAAGTATTCTGTGCTATGAATATTTGGTAGAAAACCAATGCTTTTGCTCATAGATAAGCTCTTCAGATATGTGTACTACAGAAGCATTGGCAACGGGAACCTTTCCCACCATTTGCTTTGGAAGGGTCATGTACTGCTAGCCTATTACTACATGAAAAACCCAAAGGAAGGAAACACAAAAGCAATAAATAAGGACATCAAGTTTTATTGATCAATAATGTGCAATTATAATAAAAGGCATAAAAAAAATGAATATGCGCTTGTGTGTGTGTGTGTGCACACATGTGTGTATAAACTCTAATAAAAATAAATCCATCCAACTAAAGAACTTTTAGAATCAACTAATAAACATGAAAGTAAATTGCAAAGTAAACTGTCTGAATAGCAAATCTGAATTGGATAATCATCCCAATTTTATTTTTCAGAAGGAAATTCTAAAGTGGACCTAAATGGATAAGTGGGGAAAATGAGGGAAAATAGACTCTTAACTGGAATCTTCTTTTTTGTGTCTTGAAAATGTCATTTTCCAAAATAGGTCAAGCATCAAGCATATCAAAAACACTATTAGAAGAAAAGTACTGAGAGGTTTTATAGTCCTAGCCACACAGTCCTAATTCATGCTGCTGTGTTAAACATGCTATACATTTTATGGGGGGGGGGGATATTATGGGAGAAAGGTTTTTAACTTTCTATGTATTGATATCGTTATTTTGTAAGAGCAAACATCAGAGCAAAGTTTATTATTTCATATCCAGTGTCACTTTTGAGTTATGTTATTTCACTTTCACATTGTATGTCACAATGGGTGGAAAATTAGTATATTAACAGTAGATGAAAAATATTCATTCTTCCAAAAGTTGTCCAACAACCAATGATGAAAAATGCTGGGACCGACAGTCTTTGCAACCTCAGAACTCTTATTGTGGTCAATCTATTTGATAGTACAGAGGGTATGATAAGAACCCTATCTGGAAAGACCAAAGGTCCATCTAGTTAAAGTATTATCTTTGCCAGAGTTGCTTTGACACCCATATTCTTCCACAAAACCATGAAGATGAATCAAGGGCATGAAAGCAGCAGCTCCATTGTTGCCACAGGATGTTTGCGCCCTACCCCACTGGAGAAATTACAATGTTTAGCCAGTATTGCACCACCTGACATCCGCTGGGATGTAGCAGACAACAACGAAAGGACCAAGGCAGTGAAATCTCTGGCTCATCCCCTGTATGGATATCAGCCAGCACGCCAACACCTTAAATCAAGAAATAGTTTTCTAAGATCTACAGAGATACTTGCAGGAATACCTCAGCAAGAGTCCAAAAGTGGCAGGATAAAACCCAGAACCTCAATCCATGGCAGATACCAAATGAGAGACTCCCTCCTGGGCACACAGAAGACTGGGCAACTTGGAAGGCACTGAACAGACTGCATTCTGGCACCACGAGATGCAGAGCCAACTTTAAGAAATGGGGCTACAAAGTGGAGTCCACGATATGCAAGTGTGGAAAAAAGAAACCATAGACCATCTGTTACAATGCAGTCTGAGCCCTGTCACATGCAAAAAGGAGGACTTTCTTATAGTAACACCAGAGGCACTCCAAGTGGCCAGCTATTGATCAAAGGACATTTAATAGAATGCCAAGTTTTCAAACTTTGTGGGTTTTTTTCAAATACTTTACAATTGTACTTTTGGTTAGCTCTTGATATAATAAATAAATTGTTGCCATTTGTAAATGACATTCAATATACACATTCACTACTCTTCACTATTTTAATGACCAATCTCGATAAAATAGTGAAGAGACATCACACTGGCAACGAAGATCTGCATAGTTAAAGCAATAGTATTCCCCGTAGTAACCTATGGATGTGAGAGCTAGACCATAAGGAAGGATGAGAAGGAAAATATACGCTTTTGAACTGTGGTATTGGAGGGAAATTCTGAGTGATTTGGACCGCAAGATCAAACCAGTTCAATCTTCAGGAAATAATGCCCGACTGCTCAATGGATGGAAGGATATTAGAGACAAAGATGAAGTATTTTGGCCACATAATGAGAAGACAGGAACACTTGGAGGAGACAATGATGCTTGGGGAAAATGGAAGGAAAAAGGAAGAGGGGCCGACCAAGGGCAAAATGGATGGATGGTATCCTTGAAGTGACTGGCTTGACCTTGAAGGAGCAGGGGGTGGTGATGGCCACAGGGAGCTCTGGCGTGGGCTGGTTCAGGAGGTCACAAAGAGTTGGAAGCGACTGAATGAATAAAACAACAACACATACACATTCTGTCTAAATCTGAAGGATCCAATAGTTATCCTCACTCATATTAATGGGAAATCCAGATAGTGAGTGGAGACAGGACTCACTGTCTGACAATATAGTACCACTATATATGGAACTAATAATCAGTCCACTAAATCAAAACTAAGTTGATATATATTGTCGTGTCAGGAGAGACTTGAGAATCTGCAAGTCACTTCTGGTGTGAGAGAATTGGCCGTCTGCAAGGACGTTGCCCAAGGGACGCCCGGATGATTTGATGTTTTATCATCCTTGTGGGAGGCTTCTCTCATGTCCCCGCATGAGGAGCTGGAGCTGATAGAGGGAGCTCATCTGCTTCTCCCCGGATTTGAACCTGCGACCTGTCGGTCTTCAGTCCTGCCGGCACAGGGTTTTAACCCACTGCGCCACCGGGGGCTCCATAACTAAGTTGATGATGAGTGGAGACAGGACTATCTCACAATATAGTATCACTATATAGGGAACTAATAATCACCCAGTCCACTAAGTCAAAACCAAGGGACTACCTCTATCAGCCACAACAAGCTGGAAACATAGGCTATGTCTCCCTTCAAAAGCCTGATCAGTCAAGCTAGCTGAAGCATTTTGTTCTGTCTTCAGGAATAATAGTATTAGAGTCTGACTGACATATTTATTGTTAACATTATTTAATTTATATCACACTTTCCACCAATATTGGATTCAAGGTGGCTTAAAACTCATATAATTTTGATGCTTTCCCTTTTGTTTGGAAGTAAATGCCTTATAACTTCCATGGACTATTTCAGCCTACCCATGAGAAGTTAAAATTAATGACATCTAATGAGATGTGGAAAGCAATTCTAAGAGAACCAGCTAGGAATTAAGCTCTACGGAACTCAATGTGATTTCCCTGAGTCAACATGCTGAAAATGCCATTATTTTATGCAGTACCATTAGTCAAAAGTTGGGCCTTGAAAGCATTGTGGCAGAAGGGGTTCCTCTTGCCTCCATGAGAGTTGAAGCGGCAAGTTCCTTAAATGTAAGCTTTACTGAACTGAATGTATTTACTAATGTCAAGTAAACCTGCATAGTCCCAGGCTTCACTACATTTCAGAACATACCTTAACAAACACTGAATTATACTTATTTTTGTATAGCCAAGGTCTTAGCCTTCTCTTCTGTGGCTCCCCGACTCTGGAACTCATTACCCTACACTAGAAACGTTTAAAAAGAACCTTAAAACCTGGCTCTTCCACTGTGCCTTTGGCGAGTAGGTACACATCACACTATTGCTCCCCTCTACATTTCTGTCACTGGAGCATATGCCCTCCCCCCCTCCCTAAATGGGAAGTTTAGTTTTACAACCCTGTGTGTGTCTATGAGCATCCTGCAAATAACTTGCTCCTATTTTTATTTCATTAGAGTTTTTAAACATTTTATCCTGTACATGTGGCCCGCCCACTGTTACTGCGATTGTTTATTGTAATTTTATTTTATTACTGTATTCATATTTTAATGTAATTTGATGATTTTGCTTGTTGTTTATGTTTTGGTTTTATTTTGTTATTTGTTGTTTGGGCTTGGCCCCATGTAAGCCGCTCCGAGTCCCCATTGGGGAGATGGTGGCAGGGTATAAATAAAGATTATTATTATTATTATTATTATTATTAGTGGCCAGTTCAAGTAACTAGAAACAATCTGATTAGTGGTATTGAATTACTCTTGAAGTCCATAGAGGTCATTTCATTACCTGTCTGGTCCTTCAATACCCTGAAGTAAATTTGGGGGGGGGGGGGGCAGGGAGATGCAAGTAAAGGGTAATTCTTCAGACATTCCTCCCTCTGCCATTCTACCTGTCGGAATTCAGTTAGTGGGGGTCTGCTTCCTAAATTTGTGGACCCAAGGCTACAAATCAATCAGATCCTATATGAATGAGGGAAAAAAAGAGAAAGCTTGCTAGAAATAGTAAACCACTAAAAGAACTACTTTAAATTTTTTATTGTATCATGGTAACTTCAAAAGTTGTGAAACAGTTTTCTACAATTTTGAGCTTCTCTTCAGAAAGGAGATTCTCCTGTTTGAGGCTTGCAATCAGTGCTTCTAGAGATCTGAGTCTGCTCAGTGTTTTCCTCTCCTGTACTTCCAGAAGTTCTATTTTGGAGTGCAGCTTTGCAATTTTTTGCCAGAGTTGTTCCTGGTCTGTGTCTTGCCTACAGTATGAATGCTCAGTTTGTAACACGTCAGTGCTGCTGCAATCGGTAATGCATGCGGACTGTGTAGCCTCTCCATTAACAAATTCTTGTTCTGCTGGTAAGAAGGAACCCTCTAACAGCAAGGGAGCACTTGAACCCTCGGAAGGAACTATAATGGCAATGACAGACTCTTTACCTCCGTTGAATTGTTCTAAAGTTTTTGACACAGTGTGAAACAACACCGAGTTCCCGTTCATTTCTTGCACCTCCACTGCACAGCCTGAAAGAAGAGAGTCCAGTTGATTGGATGAAAGCTCATTCATTGGTATAGTGATGCTATTACATTCCAGAAAGGACTCCAAGTGTTCAAGATGTGCAGCTTGCAAAATGGTGGCTTTAGGATCCAAGGCAGGTTCCAGACAGGAGCGAAGATCATGAACTGAAGATTGCAAAACTGTGGTTCTACCACTGGCGAGGTTCTCTACAGAATTACTGGTTTCTGGTGAGCAGAAATCAATGGTCTCTGCATCATGCAAATCAGTTGCAATTAGGATAGAACTTCCTTGCACTATATCCTGTCTAACAGAATTACATGGATTTGTAATGTCCCTTTCCATTTTGATTGTATTCTGAAGTAGCCTTTCCTTTCCTGAAGACATGTTTGAGGTTACACAAGGTGCTTTTCTAGATAGGCTTTCTTCAATTATGTTATTTCTCTTTGGTGAGCAAGGTTTAGAATATATATTCACCATATTTGTATAGGCACCTTGCATTGCTTCCATTTTTTTCTTGGAAAGTCCTTTTTCCTAGAAGATAGAAATGATTTGATTACAGAAGGCTCCAAGCATAACACATTGCAGAGTGAATCTTTCACCTACTCTATTTTACAGTACAGTTTTACAAATGCTTTTTGAAAAACAAGCCCTCCTGTGGTCAATAATACTTACTGTGACATGATAGTAATAGGTTTTCTGCTCAAAAGGAATTTAAGTTGTCCCCATAACAATATTTTCTTCTGTAACAGACACAGTTACACATAGCCCGTGTGATATAGTAGTTAAAAGCAAATGCTTCTTAATTTCCATGGACTATTTCAAGCCTACCTGCAAGAAGCTAAGATCGATTTTCTATGCCTTGGTTCAGCCATTAATCATTGACTGTGATGAGAAGATTAGGCCTTGGAAGGGCAGCTAAAAGGGAACTTGGTAAGATCCTGAAGAGTAAAAACATATTATTTGTGCTTCTGTATTTCCAATATCTATGTATGATTGTGAAAGCCAGACAGAAGAAATCTGATAGAAAAAAATCAACTGATTTAAAATGTGCTCTTGAAGGAGAATTCCATGGATATTGTGGACTACTAAATAAATGGGTCTTAGAGCAAATCAAGTCTGTTCTTTCCCTAGAAGCAAAGATGACTATATCAAGACTGTTGTACTTTGGACAATATCATGAAAAATGTCTACAAAAGACAGTAATACGTGGTAAGGTAGAAGAACAAATTCCAGAGGGATAACCTTAGTCTAGGAGGCTATAGCCCTGAATAGGGCAACAAATGACAGGTGACTTAGACATCTTATTTCATTCTCGTTTTGGCTGCATTTGATAACAGATGTAATGGAATAGTAGTTATTTTTTCTGCCACAACTGTGGCAGCAAATTCAACAGCAGTGGAGTCCCGAAGAGAGGTGTGTCAATTTAAATAAAAGGTTTAGGAAGGCATATGCAGCCAGTGATAACACAGTAAACAGAATTTGAGACAAACTGGACTGGAGTAGATTTAATATTAAATGACAAAACAAATTCATAATTAATTTATTCAATCTGCCAGTCTTCAGTTGCCCAATTTTTGTGTATGGCTCTCACAGTGACTATGCAAACTCTTCATAGTGCTTGTGCTGTTATGTCTTACAAAACATAAGAGTATTATAATAATAAATGAAAAGCTTTACATTTATTTGGCTTTGACATAAAAGTACCACTGTAGAGTCACTTTGATTTCTCCACAATTCATACAATTCAGTTGAATTATTTCTGGCTACTGAAAAAAATCTCAAGGTTTTTTTTTTTAAATAAAAAACATCTAAATTTAATGTGCCTTTTTATTTATCAAGTGGAAATAAAAGACTACTAATTGCATCTCACTGATCTATGACAATGCAAAATTATGACAATTTCAAAATATTCTTTTTGTTGCCTGGTGCAAATGTTGGTCCTGTGAAATCCCCTCTTAACTACTGCACTGTTTAAGAAAATAATCTAAGGTGTGAAAAGCTCAACGGGAACAGGCTATTAGGGCTGCCAAGGAAGCAAAGGCTAAGCAGGCAACTAAGAAGACTGTACCTTCCACAACAAAGGCACCTACAAAGGCTGTGCCAAAGTAAAAAACTGAAAAGCCTGTGAAAGTTTCTGCTCCTCGCATTGGTGGGAAACACTAACTTGTGCTGATTTGATTACATCAAAGAAACATTTGACATAAGTTAAAAAAAAAGAAAGAAAAAGAAGATAATATAACTCAGCTCCTAATCTCTTTCTGTATTTTCTAAATAATTTAGGAAGAGCTCTAATTCTAATGTATCAAATTCAACTAACATTCCCACTAGGAAACAATCTTTGTTGTTTCTCATATTTCTAACACTCAATGTATTCTCTTACTTGATTGTCAGATGATGAAAAAATAGTTGGGACGGCAGTTGTTTTCAAATATCGAATCCCCCATCGCACGTCAAGAGAATCTGGTGTAAAATGATCGCTGCAGAGGACTTGGTGCTTGCTGGGAGTCCAAGAGTCACGCTTCATATTCCGTAACCATTTCTCTAACCTTTCCTTATCGTGAAGAGGAAATCTGCTTCAAAAGATTTGTACAAAAAACAGAGCATTGTGTTTTCAGACAAAGTATTGTTTGCAACAACAACACTTTATTTATATACCACTCCCCAAGGGGACTCAGAGCGGTTTCCAAGTAACATCATCAATACATACAGAGTAAACAACATAAACATAAAATTAACAAAACAATATAAGCATAAAATGGTCACAGTGACACATATATATTAAAGGTAATCCTGCCTGTTCAAGGCAACTTTCCAGCTTTTATTCAAAAAACTTAAACTCGGGAATGTTGAAATTTAACAACAATTAGGTTTTGGAGAAAATTGTACTTTGGGTAACTGATCAGCCAAAAGCCAAAGAGCACAAAAATTCTGTAGTGACTAAACCAGGTTAGGACAGATCTGCGCATCTAAGGATGAATTTCCTCAATAGACGGGCAGGGAACTGCAGAAGAAACAGGTAAGGGGAAACGTTAAGGGGAAAACGTTTTTCATTTATGGTCCAATGCTCTGGTTCTTATCTTCTGGTTCTTATCTTCTTGGGTTCAGTTCCATAACATTTATTCTAGAGTTCATATTTGCATAAATCTGTTTACATTGTTTTATAGCTACGTTGTACCTGAATTGTGTTTTTCCTGATCTAGATCAAACTTGGCAAACATACATACCCTCCATTATCCAACTGAAAATAATTGAAGAGTTTGAACTAAAAAAATCCCACCCCTTTTGGGCCCAGAGTGGGGGGAAAGAAAAGGAACAAAGCAGATTGGCTGTGGCTAGGTGAAGTGACCCTCTATCATGTGACTGGGAAACAATGGGAGTGAAGTAGATTAGTTGCTGCTAAGTGCCCTGTGTATGAAGGGAAGGCGGGGAAAGAAGGAAGGAAGGAAGGAAGGAAGGAAGGAAGGAAGGAAGGAAGGAAGGAAGGAAGGAAGGAAGGAAGGGGAAGAAAGAAAAAGAAAGGGGAAAAGGGGGAAAGTTATGAGGGGATAGAAGGAAAGAAAGACATGAATGAAAAAGAGAAGAAATAAAAAGAAGGGAAGAGTAAAAAGGGAAGAGAAATGAAACAAGGGGAGGTGTATAAAGGAAAGCAAGGAAATAAAGAAAACAGAGAGTGAAGGTAAAGGTGTATGAGGGAAAAGGAAGAAAGAAAGACCCACAAGGAGAGGATGACCACTGTTGATAGTGTGTTGCTATGGACACATTGTGAGGTAGGCCTTCTCAGAGCTGGACAAGGGAGAAAGGAGGTGGGCAACAGTTCCAACAACACCCAGGCAATTCTGAGTATATTAGTATGTTTGTGTGTATGTTTTTTTTTTTTTACTATATACTGATTTATTTCTGGGGAAAAAGTGTAGACACTCACACTCCTTGATAGCACTATCACGCATTGCTTATGATTTTATGTTCAAAAGTTCACCCAAAGTTGTCTTCCTATCCAGTTTATCCTCCAGGCAGCCATGTTTCTTACCTCAAACTGAAACAAACATTGGCCTTCATGGCAGAGTACAAATTTGCCTCAGTCTGTCCTATCCTAGTCTGGCCCTCTAGCTATTATCTGCTACTAACTAGAAAATGCAAACAGCTGTCATGTGCAGCAAGGACTTTGAATGAACCCAGGCCCTGTGAGGGAAAGAAGAAACCATAAATGCATTCAGCTTTTTAGTTGTCTGTTTCCATTGTAGAAGCCTGCACTGAACTGAACTGCAAATACCTGTGGTGTGATTCACACATCCCACCCAAAACGACCAAAGATGCAATAATGAGTGTATGCATATAACAGCAGATGTTCATTCAACACAATTATGGCAGTTCACATACTAAGGGATCCTATACTTCATTGTTTGCTCAAAGGAGCTTCTTGGCTAAGGATGCTAAATGCCCCTCCTCATTCCCCCTGCAAATCCCTAGTGTTTCATAGGACATGTCATGGTAAAGTGTAATAATAGCACTGCAAATATGTAGTGTGAAAGGGCACCAGTTGAGGAATGTGTTTGTTCCAGTTATCCCTACTGTAACTTCTAAGGTTTAACTCCTTAGGCAGGGAGGAGAAACACAATTGCCATCAAAATTGCAGTGTCTCATTCTATGTTTGTTTATTCACAGTGGACAATGAGGATCTGCTGGGGTTTGGTTCCAGGAGGGAACTTTGGCAATCAAGCTCATCACATTGAAAATTTTCCCCCTCTTAGGACACTTCAGTCTCTTTTTTAAGCATGGAGAGGCATGGAGCTCATCACATGTTCCAGGGCCAAAGAGGTGGAAATGTCCTGAAAGGAGGGAACTCTGAACATAAGCCAGCAATCATGTTCAGAACTTCTACCTCTTATCACACTTTACTCCCATCTTTACAACTGAAAAAAAGTTTCCCATCCTGTTTCATTGCCCAACCATCAGCAATGGTATTAACCTAGATCATGAATTTTTGCTGCTGTTAGCCGTTCTGAGTCCCTCCACGGAGGTAGAGGAGAACGGGATATAAAAGTTCTAAATAAATCTATATAAATAAAAATGTAATGTTCGTTTGTGGGATTAATATAACTCAAAAACCACTGGACAAATTGACACCAAATTTGGGCACAATACACCTATCAGGCCAAAGAGTGTCCATCAGCCCTAAAAAGACACACACACAGACAAAAACCCAGCAGAACGGACTTAAAACCCCCCAAAATAAACTATATATACATACACACATACACTCATATACATATACACATGCAGACATACATACAGACACACACATATATGCACATGCACACACAAATATACATACATATACACATGCACACATACACATATATTTACATATACACATGCACACATACACATATAGACATACATACACATATATACACAAGCATGCACATATACACTATATATATATATATATATACAGAAATAATAAATATATATACACACACACATGCATATATACACATCTATCTATCTTTCTATTTGTGTATATGTTTATATATGTGTGTTTACAGATATATATATATATATATATATATATCTGTGTGTCTGTATGTATGTGTGCATGTGTATATGTATATGAGTGTATGTGTATATGTATATATAGTTTATTTTGGGGATTTTTAAGTCCATTCTGCTGGGGTTTTTTTTTTGTGTGTCTTTTACACAATACACCTGATAGGTGTATTGTGTCCAAATTTGGTGTCAATTCATCCAGTGGTTTTTGAGTTATGTTAATCCCACAAATGAACATTACATTTTTATTGGGAGGAGAGCAATGTCCAATCTTGATAAAATAGTGACGAGTAGAGACATCACACTGGCAAAGAAGATCTGCATAGTTAAAGCAATGGTATTCCCCATAGTCACCTATGGATGTGAGAGCTGGATCATAGGGAAGGCTGAGCAAAGGAAGATGCTTTTGAACTGTTGTCAGGCCCGTAGCCAGGATTTTGATGGGGGCGGGGGTTGGTTGGGGGGGGGGCTGAGTCTGAGTGAAAGAGGGTCTACCCTAGCAAACCTTTTGTATCGTTACCCCAATACCCCCATGCATATGGGATATATTGAGCATGGTGATCAGATCATGACATGAATAAACATAACAGTTTAAATAATGTACCAGTAAGGCCTTCTCGCGGACCACCATCAGAATTTCGGGGGGGGGGGGGGGGGGGGGGGGGGCTGAAGCTACATGCCTGACTGTGGTGTTGGAGGAAAGTTCTGAGAGTGCCTTGGACCGTGAGAAGATCCAACCAGTCTATTCTTGAGGAAATAAAGCCTGACTGCTAATTGAGAGAAGGATAGTAGAGACAAAGATGAAATACTTTGGCCACATCATGAGAAGACAGGAAAGCTTAGAGAAGACAAGGGGGAAATGAAAGAAAAAAGGAAGAGGGGCTGACCAAGGGCAAGATGGATGGATGGCATCCTTGAAGTGACTGGACTGACCTTGAAGGAGCTAGGGGTGGTGACGGCCGACAAGGAGCTCTGGCGTGGGCTGGTCCATGAGGTCACGAAGAGTCGGAGACGACTGAACGAATGAACAACAAGTGTTTGTGTGTGGGGGTTTTTTTTAAAAAAAAAACTATATAATGATTTATTTCTGGGGGGAAAGTGTTGATACTCACATTCCTTGATAGCGCTATCATGCATTGTTTATTATGATTTTATGTTCAAAAGTCCACCCAAAGTTGTCTTCCTATCCAGTTTATCCTCCAGGCAGCCATGTTTGTTACCTCAAACTGAAACAAACATTGGCCTTCATGGCAGAATACAAATTTGCTTCAGTCTGGCCCTCTAGCTATTGTCTACTAACCAGAAAGCATTAACTCAGTGCTGTGGAATCGTAGTGGCTGTCCTTTCACAAGGCCCTCTTAACCTTCTCAGCCCAAGAGGGCAGGTGCCTCACCAGACCACAACCCCGCCACTGAGGCAAGTTCGTGCTGTCCAAGTGCAGCTCAGAGGAGACCCTCCCTCCTCCCCTCCCTCCACGAGGAACGGGGGCGTGGCCACTCACGGGTAGAAGCTGAGCCTGCGCTGGTCGCGAGCGCTCTGCCCTGCTCGGTTCCTGCAACAGGCGGCCGCGCAGTAGCGAGGCATGGCGAGCAGGACTCCTCCGCAGCCAGCCAGACAGCCAGCCCTTTCCCCTGTCCCTCCCTACGGCCCCGCCCACTTTCCCTCGCCTCAGCCAATGGCACAGCCACGCTTCCGCTTCCGGGAGAAGAGGCCCCCAATCCCGCTCTCCTTTCTCCGGAAGTGGCGCAGGTGCGTCACTGCGCGCGGGGCAACAACAGCCTTCCACGTGCGCCCCAATCGGCCGCGCCGCGTGACTCCCCGCGGCCAATCAGGGAGCGCTTCGTGGAGCAGCGCCGAGGCTATATAAGGAGAGCAGGCGAACGTCGCGGGAAGTCGAAGGCAGCGAACGGAGGAGGTGAGAGAGGGTGTGGGTAAGTCGAGCGCCGCTCCGAAGGCTTCTCGGCCTTCGCTTGGACGAAACACTCTGAGGGAAGGGGAAATAGGACTGTACTAATAGGACTAATTTCCTCAGCATTACAACGCCAGAGACCCCCTTTTCCCCCTATCAGTTATAGAACAAGCTGGGCCTGGCTGTGCTTCTCATTGCCATTCTTGTTTGCTGTTCTTATTTCTTCTCAGGCCAAGTTGGTGACTACCAGAATTCAGAAACGTTCAAATCTTCTGAAATAATAATAATAATATTAATAAAGCTTGATTTATATACCGCCCTAGCTCCCCAAAGAGATTTGGAACTAATGAGAATATTGTAATGTAATAATACTAATATATTATATACAACATTAACAGTGTTGTAATATAGTGTATTCCAGAAATCTACAACTTATTATATAGTACAATGACGTTATATCATACTAGTAGTGTAATATATTGGTAGTGTATTAAATAAATTGTAAGTAAGTAAAGTAAGCATAGAGCCTTCTCGATCGTGGCCCCTTATTTATGGAATGCCTTGCCGGTTGAAACTCGAACCATCCGAGACCTACCTGCTTTTTGGAAAGCCTGTAAAACTTTTGTCTTCCGACAAGCTTTTGATGGGTGAACGATCTGGGCTATGCCTGTTCTTGCTGCCTATTGTTATTGTTATGGTCATTTTAAAGCTAATTGTATTGTTTTAATCTGTTTCTGTAAACTGCTCCGAGCCAAATTGGGAGTAGCGGTATAAAAGTTAAATAAATAAATAAATAAATATCTGCTTTGAACAGGATTATCTCAATCTACACTGCTTGGCGGGAACGAGAGACAGGGCCTTCTCAGCAGTGCCCCCCCCCCCCCAGCTATGGAACACCCTCTTAGGGACGTTAGATTGGCCCCCTCCCTCCTGACATTTCAAAAGAGAGTTAAGACCTGGCTGTTCAAGCAGGTATTTGCAGACACAGTATAACTGATTAGTTGAGAGTAATGGAACAACAGGACGATGCGATGGAAAATGATTTTAATGATGAGACGCTGAGAACTGTATTTTATGATTTTAATTGTTTATTATTTTTATACGGTTTATACTATATGTAATTGTTTTTGACTGTATTTTATCTTGTGGGCCATTGATGGCCAAATGTAAACTGCCTTGAGTCACCTCTGGCCTAGAGGGGCGGTATACAAGTATAATAAATAAATAAATAAAGCAGATAACTTTATATTGCAATGTGGCAGGGACCTCAGTTTTCAGTTTGGCAGCTCTGTCTTCAGTTTGCCCCCCCCCCCCCCCCAAATCAAACACATTCTTTCTGTCTTATCAAGATGTGGGCTTAGTTATTTGGACCCAGGTTTTCAAGTCCTAGTTCTATTATTTTCCCAGTTATTCTTTCAGCTCTTCTTTCAGTTTGATAATATCGCCCCCCCCCCCCCCATCCAACATCTACTTTCTGTCTTATCAAGACTGCCTGGTGTGTGTCCTGATCAGTTATTTGGACCCAAGAATTACAGTGTATGATACTTTACACATGCATGCATAAGTCTAGAAGTTTTAATTAAAAAAAAACCAAACCCCAAAAGCTTGTTTGACTTATCCACTTGTCAGGTGGAGTTTTGTACCTTGTCACTTGTATATAAACACAGACACTTTTCAGAACAGAGTGATAAAAGTAGAGACTTTAGTCTTTCCAAAGGGGACATCAAAGGCCCCTTCTGTACTGCCCTATATCCCAGGATCTGATTTCAGATTATCTGCTTTGAACTGAATTATATGAGGCTCAATTGCCAGATAATCTGGGATAAGAAGATTATCTGGAATCAGATCCTGGGATATAGGGGCAGTGTGGAAGGGGCCAAAGAGGCACTGAAAGGTTGTACTCTCTCCACCACATTGCTGCTCCTGGCCCTTTTAAATGTCTGGGTAGGGAATGGGTGGCAACAGCTGGCAGAGGCCCCCTGAAGTGGAATTGGTGCCTTCCCCTCTCCACAAAATGAACCTTGATTTATATACAGGTCATATCAAAATCCATAGTTTTGGTCTGAAAGCCTGCCTTCCCCTTATACATGAGTATATACAGAATTCAACTCATACTTAATCCGTATGCGGTTTGATTTGTCTGAACTTTTTTTATTGTAAATTAATATTTTGCATTGTGTATTGAGGCTTAATGTCTAGGTACCCATTGTGAAACTGGCCTATCTCACACAGGAAATGTGGAGGATATATGTACAGATGACTGCAAGCTAATTGTCTTGTGTAGTTGCACATGTTTAATGTGGCCTTTTTGAGCCTAGAACAGAAAAAGAAAAAAGCGAGAGGTCCTTTTGTAAAATTTCACTTACTCTAGTATCTAGATGGTCATTTTCTATTTTTTTTTAAAAAAAATTGTAATGAAATCCTATACATACATGTCACCTTTTCTGACTTTGAAAGTTGTATAGGGTTGGGCTTAGCTGTCATTTGATGGGAAACCACATCAGTAGAGTGACATAAGCACAATCAATTGAATGTAGTCTTAAATGTTACTTAACTGAATTATGACAGTGACACGTTTGACTTCAGCATAGCTTCAAGAATGACTCAACGTGGATCCAACCCACTGTGTAAATAATGAATATGTCATATCACTTGTATGTGGAGAAGTATTTTTGCAAAATAGTCTTATGCAGGGATTCAAAGGTTTTCAGCAAATATTAGAAGAATAGACTATTTTATGCTAGTTCTGATTTTTTTTTGTCAGGTAATTCTGTGGCCTAATCAGTTGTGTTATGTTTTTATTTGGATATATTTATATTTCTCATTCTTTCTCATCCCAAAAAGCCTCCCAATAATTATTTACATTAGTGAAATGTATAGAGAGGTAGCATGTATGAATTAAAGCAGGAACCAAAATCTACAAGATTTAAAACATATACAAATATATCTGGCTAGACAACATTGAAGTGGCCTCTAAAGAGAATTGTAGAATCAGCGTAGTCACGCTGATGAGGCTAGAGAAGGCAGTCCTATTACTTAAAGGTCCCTTGGAGGATGCAGATTTTCAGGAAACATTCACACCCTTTAAGTAGACTTGTGCATGCGCATTCTGTCTGCATTTGGAACCCTTATGTAAGCATGTAAAGGCTGTTCCCGAGTTACAAATGACTCATAGTTACAAATGGGGGTGAGACAACGGAAAGTGAGAGGAATCCATCCCTTGGAATGGAATTTCACTCCTGAAAGAGTTGTCATGAGAGAAAGGTTCCTCCACTGTAGCTGTATCACAAATCCTTGTTTCCTCAACAAGCCAAATTTTTCAAAATCCAATTATCACAGGAACAGAAAGTGCAATGAAATCTTCTGAACAGGGGCACAGACAGCAAAACAAACACCACAGGGTTGTCAACCCTTCCATATGCTATCCAAAGCTAATATATATGTATAGCTATCCATATATATTTGGCTGGAGTTATACTTTAAAATGTACCTCTTTTTTTGACTTAGAATTGTTCAACTTAACAAACCTGCAGAACCTATCTTGTTTATAGCTTAGGGACTGCCTGTATTCAGCACCTCAAATGAGTGCTAAAAAGAAATAATAAAACCAGGAGAGAGTTTAACCAAGGGTCAGAAAAGTGGGCCGCAGAGATTTTTCTAGCCATAACATTTTCTAAATCTTTTCTGAGGCACTTTGGTTATAATATTTAGCAATAACTCTTAGGTGGATATTGTGTAACTATGACTCGATTGGCCTATCCTGCAGGGAATACTGTTTGTGTACCAACCAGCCACCTGATCACCCCTAAGCTGTGAACCTGGTCCTTCAGATGGAATACAGATCTGTCCAAAGAGCATTGAACACTGTTATCCAAAATACTTCCAGAGATGTCTCATTGTTCCAATTTGTAGTACTACTTCCATCCTGTCTGGTTTAAGACTCACTCTTTTTGGTCCACATTCAATCTATCACTGTAGGTGCCAGTTCAGAATTTCCACAGAGTCTTTGGTATCCTCGCTAAAGTAGAGTAAGAGCTGGCTGCCAGCATGTTCATGGCACTGAACTTCAGTTACTCTTTCTACTGGTTTCATTTAGGTGTTTTTTAGTATAGGAGGAAAAACAGAACCTTGCAAACACTAAATGCCTGTAGGGCAAACCATATGCCATAGAACCGTCTTTTAAAAATGTCCAGCCAGTTGGGATTAAAAGCACTATAATCAGTTATCTCCATGCTCATCAACATGCGACTGTTGTAGTTCTAAAACCAGTTTCAAATTAGGAAGCACAACAGTTGAATTTCTACTGCCCTTATTCAATTTAATTCTGTGTTTTGTATTATTTAACTATGTGCATTTAAAAACTGGACATTGACATGCTACTGGATTGGCTTGCTGAAATGTATGGTAGACACCTTGTCTTTATGTGCACTTTTAACAGTGGCACAATGTAACTTGAAACCAAAGAACATTTTTCAAAAGAATAGGCTGCTACTTGCTACTCTTTCTTGAACGAATGAGCAGGGGATTGCCTAGCCATCTCTCCTCTCTTACTGCTTTCCTTGTGTGAAAAATCACACATCTGAAGATAAGTTTCTGTTCTCTGTTAAGCTGTATGCATAAATAGGAATCATAGGGAAAAAATGGAAAGCTTCCATGCAGAGGAAACTCCTGGTCTGCATGTGTTTGTAGACCCTTCATTAAAAAAAGAGAGATCTGACGGGACAGGAAATAATGGGAGAAAGGAAGGGAAAAACTCTGTGCATTGAAAAAGAAATTTTGTTTCCTTCTCATTCATCCCTGCTACAGTTTCTGTGGAACAAAATTCCAAACAGGCATGTTTGGGCTCGAGTAGTAATTTGCAAAAATGGTACTGGTAGAGATGTATTCCAGCAAAGACATTAATAGTAGAGTCTCGCTTATCCAACGTAAACAGGCTGGCAGAACGTTGGATAAGTGAAAATGTTGGATAATAAGGAGGGATTAGGGGAAAGCCTATTAAACATCAATTTATGTTATAAGTTTACAAATTAAGCACCAAAACATTATGTTTACAACAAATTGACAGAAAAAGCAGTTCAATACACCATAAGGTTATGTAGTAATTACTGTATTTACGAATTTAGCACCAAAACATCGCAATGTATTGAAACAGCTGTGGTTCTGGGCAGGAGGCAGTCTGCATTGGATAATACAGAACTTTGGATGAGCGAAGGTTGGATAAGTGAGACTCTACTATAATTTGCAATTACTAATGTACTAAAATTAATATCTCCACTGGTGTTGACAGCTGTGGAGGACCGAAGAGTACACAGTGCTTTTCTGTTAACAGATAACTTGTAGACTTCCTTGCCCCATGGACTCTAGCTAGCTTATAGAAGTTATCAGTATCTGCTTGTTTTCAGACAGTTCGTAAGAAATACTATGTTTTGATGGGTTAAGAACATGAAGACTTTTTAATAGGAGCATTTCTATTTGATATCCTTTCCCATATCCTAAGAAACTTCCTGACATGTATTGTATTTTGTTACTGCATCTTTCTTGTCAAACCAGAAAATCACAAATAAAAGGAGATGACATTAAATTGCTTTTAAACCAACCTTTAGGGCAATGGCGGGTAATGTATGGCTTTTCAAATGGGATTCGACAGCACTTCTCAACAGCACTCGCCAGTATAGCCAGTGGTGAGGAATGCTGGAAATTGTAGCTGAGCAACATCTAAAAGGCTACACCTTTTTCACAGCCTGGCTCAAGTACCATTTTTCTCACACATTCTTTAAAAATGCAGTTACATTGTAATGAGTCTTTTCTGATTTTCTCTTTACATAATCTTCTGAAATGATTTAAAGCTACACAATTTACTTTAGCATGATTCTTGAACAAGTTGCATGCATGCATGCTCAATGGGTCGCTTATAGTAATAGTTTCTGCATATATGCATAATTAAGGTAGCATCAGAATTTTATGCTTTATAATTGCGATCACTTGATACTTCTTGATTCAATTTCTGAGACTTTTAAAAAAGCAGTATTTCTAAATAAAGACTTTCTTTGTGGAGACTGCCTTCAAACATGCACAGTATAGGCTAGTTTGAAGGTAACCTCCACTTTTAACATTTTCCTGATCATTACTTGTTTTTATAAACCTTTCTAATCACAGTATGTAATTAGAGCCTGAAAATAATAAACATGTTGGGTAAAACTTTTTATATCCATTATATAAATATAGATATGTGTGTAGCATTACTAAAATTACTGAGGAAGTAGAAACCTACTCACTTGGATGTTATATAGAGTAAGTTACACAAAAATAAACTAAAGTACAAATTAAGAAGTGGTTCTGGAAAAAAAAAAAAGATGTTTATAGAAAAACATTGCCCACTCAAGAGAACATGTTGGATCATGTGAATTTGTAACCACCTGAGAAAGGAAAACCTTTTCTTTAACTATTCTGTATACACAAATATTAATTTAAGCAAATACGTGTATTATGTTGCAAAATAATAACTGGATTGCCTCTGTTTTCCCCTCAGGTGTCTTGCCATGGCTACTACACAGTCTGCCTACATATTTGCACTTTGTATTTTAATGATAACAGAATTAATATTGGCTACAGAAAGCTACTATGACATCCTTGGTGTTCCCAAAAATGCATCTGACAGACAAATCAAGAAGGCATTTCACAAACTAGCGATGAAATACCATCCAGATAAAAACAAAAGTCCTGGAGCAGAAGCAAAATTCCGAGAAATTGCAGAAGGTAGGCAGAATCCAATTAAATTTTATTCCGGATTCATTGTCTAGATTATGGAAAGGAAAATTGGTCTGAATATACGAATCCTGCTTTCTAAGAACCTCATCATGAGTTACGGAAAGATCTGGGACCATTTTACAAATCCAATCAAATGCTGTATGTTTCTCAGCCTTTCTCCTGTTCTGCCCTGTGTTCTGAACTATCACACAAGTTAGTGCAATCCCTGCCCATTCCACATTATTTTCCTTTTTGTTAATTTGAAAACTTTGAAATCAGAAATCAGAAACATTGAAGTGATGGTGGCATTTTTCATTTACACAACTTCTTTGTTACATTCATTCAATCAATCGGATCTGGGAAAAGAATTGAAGTATCGGTGCTTGGGACCAAACCACCCATCGCTCAATGTCACTGAAATGAAATGGGTGAATGTGATAGATTGTGTCCCATGCATTTTTGAAGTGTTTTCTCCCATTTGCATGTGGATCAGTAGCAGCTCAAGAAGATTTCTTCCTGCCTCTTGTTCCCCCCCCCCCCAATTTATCTATAACTCAAAGACAGTTAATTAAACAAAGCAGAATGGATGACAGCTAGAAGTATATTTGCATCATTTGAAAAGCTTCTTGGTACATCATTTATAAAATGATTTAGAAATGGGGGCGGGGAGTGTTTTATATCTGATGAGGTCTTAAGAATACAGATCACTGCTCAGAACACAATGGTGCTCGGGTATTGCACAGGGATCAGATTAATGCATTGCTCAGGAAACTAGTGAGAGAACAAATCTGAATCCTTACTTTGAGTTGACCTCAGTAAATATTTCTTAGTGAACATTGAAGCCTACTATATGCATTCCCCTGATTATTTATTCATTTGCCATATTCATTCATCATATATTGATGCAAATCCAGCACAAGAAAGATCACAACTGGATGAGGTGTCAATAGAGACCCCGAAAGATCTCTTCAGTATTTGTTTAGGAAATAGTCTAAAGGTTCATTGTGGCCCTCTTTAAAATTGAATTTACAAGTATCAAGAACTCATCTGGAAAAGAATATCTACCCTATTTGTTTTGGAAAGGAATATGGAAGTGCTCGATTGGGATATTGGACTGTGTTCTCTAGTCCACTCACAAGCACTTTCTAATTTAATCTTTTCTGGTTTGCCCTTGGTGTGTATTTTTTTTTTAAAAAAAAATAGCCCCCTTAAATAGGCTCAGCTTGGTAGTTTTTGAACTCAACCTGTACTTGACATTATCTGAGTTAAGCCTATCCCATCTGCTAGGATATCTGTGTTAATGTAAGATTTTTAAAATGTTTTTTTCCCTTGCTCTTCCAGCATATGAAACATTGTCTGATGAAAATAAACGTAGAGAATATGACCAATTTGGCCATGCTGAAGGAAGAAGGAGCAACAGCAACACTTTCCAACAGCCATTTAACTTCAACTTTGATGACTTGTTTAAAGACTTTGATTTGTTTGGCCAAAACCACAAGACACAGTCAAAGAAACATTTTGAAAATCACTTTCGGAGTCATCAGCATGCTCACAGCAGGCAAAGACGTTCTTTCCCAGAATTTTCTTTTGGCGCAGGACTGTTTGATGATATGTTTGAGGACATGGAGAAAATGTTTTCATTCAATGGATTTGACACACACCAGCAAACAATGCGGACTGGAAGTAAATTCCATGGATCTAGTAAGCACTGCAGAACAGTCACTCAGCGTCGAGGAAACATGGTTACTACATTCACAGACTGTTCTGGACAGTAATACTTCAGTTTGTTTTCTTCTGTTCTGCCCAATGCTACTTTTTCTTTCTATCTCTTGCTGCAGAAATACAAAAGTTATTCTGCGAACTGTATGAAATTTATAGCTTAATCACTTTATCTGCTGGAAATAAGCTATAGCTAAATTTATGCTTATTGACAGAAGTGCAACAAAGCGCAAAGTTGGGATGCCATTAATTTATTCCTCGGCCTGCATAGGATATTCATATGATGGAGAAACCTCCAAGTGACAATGTTAGGTTGTATCTTAAAAAATATATAGAAATGTTGCCAGATTACCTCACTTATTTTGTTTATACCTCACACTTGGTGAAGTGCTGAGTTGGTGATACAGTAGAACTTATTACCATTATTATCAAGGATCCATTTCTATAAAAGTGTTAACCTATTGAATGCTTGTGTGAGCTGATGTTTGTAACTAGCACAGTGTTTACCTACTGTAAACCGCATTTGTGCAAGTTGTCAGTAGTGACTTTAAAAATGCAACCCCCTTCCCCCAAATCCCACATTAAAATTTGACCTATTTTGAGTTTTGTGATTCAGTTTGGAGAAATTGATGATGCAAATATTGTTAGGCATGGAGCAGAAAATGTGGAGATGTACTATTGGGAACTCAGATGTGTCATACTGGACTGACATTTCAGATTACTCTTCAATCTTTGTGTGTTGGAGGCTTCATTTAATATGATTTGTTTTACATGTATGTTGGCATTGAATTTTTGCCATTTAAATGTTGTAAACCATCTTGAGTCCCCTCAGGGGTGAGAAAGGCAGTATATAAATACAGTAAATAAATAAATAGATTGCACCAGTGAGAATGTACACAGAAACTACACCATGTAAACTAGTGCTAAGAAAAAAAAACCCTAAATTTAATATCACTTTCTAACTTTGTGATTACTTACAATCTCATTTACATTACACATGCGGGGACATGAGAGGCCTCCGACAAGGATGGTAAAACATCAAAACATCAGGGCATCCCCTGGGCAACGTCCTTGCAGATGGCCAATTCTCTCATACCAGAAGCGACTTGCAGTTTCTCAAGTCACTCCTGACACACACACACAAAAATTACATTACATATGGCAGCTCAGGTACTTAAGTAGTTCGGGTAAACTCGTTTTTTCATGGAGCCAATCCCCAAATAACAGTTTTGTTTCCTGTCTCCACTCCTACAGCAGCTAACTGGACCCTGCTGAGCAGCTTATTTTTATCTTTATCCTGTCCTTTATCTCTAAACCTTCCAGTATAACAAACTTGGCGGAATGAGTCCTATAATTACAATATACCGGTAGTAATAGAGAGGTATAACTTATTTCAGGGAAATAGACGCAACAGGGAAAGGGGTGAAGTAGCATTATATGCCAGGAATGTTTACACCTGTGAAGATAGGCAGGACTGAACCAATATTTAGAAACAACATGAACAATATATTGAAACTGGTGTGTGTGGAGGTAGGTCACTAAAGAATTTTAAAAAATAACATATGTAGGGAAAAGTTCTAAAAGGCTGAAAGTCAAAATGAGCTTAGGCTTGTCAGAGAAATCAAAAACAATAAAAAGGGGATTATTTGATTATATCACTTAAAAAGAAAGAACAAGTAAAGGTAGGGCCTCTGTGTGGAGAAGGTGGTGAAATGCTAATAGATAGGGAAAAGACAGAACTGCTTAACACCTTTGCCTCAATCTTCTCCAAAATGAAATTAGTGTTCAATCTGAGTAGTATGGAGTGAATGAGGCAATAGGGGGAATACAACCCAAAATCGGTAAATAAATAGTCAAGGAATACCTGGCTAATGAATTCAAGTCTCTAAAACCAGATAAACTACATCCAAGAGTATATTGAAGGAACAATCAAAGTAATGTCAAAACCACTAGCAATAATCTGCTAATTCTTGGAGAAGAGAAGTCTCATGCAGACTGGAGGAGAGAAGTGTCCCGAACTTCAAGGACCCAGACAATGATAGTTAAGTCAGCCAAGATTCAAGAGCAGATCATTAAGGCAGTAGTTTGTAATGCTGAGATCACTAAAACTCAACATGGATTTCTCAAAAAGAAGTCACATCAAACCTCTTTTTTTTGGACAGAGTTACAAGCTTGGTAGATGCAGGGAATGCTATGGATGTAGCTTATCTTGGTTTCAGTAAGGCCTTTGACAATATCTTCCATGTTTAACTTGTTGTCCACAAGTTTTTGCACACAAACTTGTAACGTGGGTTAGAAAATACTACTGTTGGTGGATTTAATTGGTTAAGCAACCAAACCCAAAGAATGTATTGTCGAAGGCTTTCATGGCTGGAATCGCTAAGTACTTGTGGGTTTTTTCGGGATATATGGCCATGTTCTAGAGGCATTTCTCCTGACGTTTCGCCTGCATCTATGGCAAGCACCTCTGAGGATGCTTGCCATAGATGCAGGCGAAACATCAGGAGAAATGCCTCTAGAACATGGCCATATAGCCTGAAAAAACCCATGAGAACTTAGAAACCTAAAGAATGCTCACCATTGTTCATCTTCACCTTGAAAAGAAGTGACTAGTGGAGTGCTGCAGACTTCTGTCCTGGGCCCAGTTCTATTCAACATATTTATTAATGACTTAGATGAAAGTTGGAGGGTGTGCTTATCAAGTTTGCAGATGACACCAAATTGGGAGGGATAGCTAATGCCCCAGAAAACAGAATCTGAATTCAAAACTACCTTACAAGATTAGAGATCTGGGTCAAAACTAACAAAATGAATTTCAATGGACAAATGTAAGATATTACACTTAGGCAGAAAAAAATGAAATGCAAAGATACAGGATTGGTGATGTCTGACCTGACACAGGACACGTGAAAGGGATATTGGATTTTTGTGGACAAGTTAAACATGAGCCAAAGGTGTGATACTGCTGCTAAAAAAAGCCACTGGGATTTTGGGCTGCATCGAAAGGAGTATAGTGTCTACTAGATCAAAGGAAGAAATGGTGCGCCTCTGTTCTGCTTTGGTCAGACTTCATCTGGAATACTGTGTCCACTTCTGGGCACCACATTTAAAGGTCTGGAGACCATGCCTTATGAGGAACGTCTTAAAGAGCTGGATAGGTTTGGCCTGCAAAAGAGAAGGTTGAGAGGAAACATGATAGCCATGTTTAAATTTGAAAGAATTGTCATAAGGAAGAGAGAGCAGGCATGTTTTCAGCTACCATGGAGACTAGGACTCAAAGCAATGGGCTCAAATTACAGGGAAGGAGATTCCACTTGAACATTAGGAAGAACTTCCTGTCTGTAAGAGCTGCTCAATGCCTTAGAGTGTGATGAAAGCTTTGGATGCTTTTGAACAGAGACTGGATGGCCATCTTTTGGGGGTAATTTCATCATGCTTTTCCTGCATGGCGAGGTTGGACTACATGGTCCATGTGGTTTCTTCCATTATTCCATTATTCTATGGATCTACTTAATACTTCAGTTCTGTGGTCTGCTTTATTCAAAACAAGCATGAGCGACACATCAATTTACAAGGGATATAATGAGTGATGGAATGAGATACAATATTTTACAAATATTTTGATGCCTCTAGGTAACTTTACCTTAGAAGGTAAACAACATGCACTAAGACACGGCCACGAAAAACCATGTGCCTCTTTATTATCAGGGATTGTGGTTGTGGTTTCTTGGGGGGCGGGGGACTCACTGGAAATATTTATACACATTTCAAAATGTAGCGTGATCTAATGAAGTTATCTTTCATTGAGTCAGATTTTAGTTTTCCTGAGTTAATGTGCTCAACATGCACCATCACACAAGAATAATTCTACCTTAAGCTATCTGAAGAATCTCTTATTGGTACAAATACCTCATGCATAACTAACTTATAAGTATGTGCTACTCAAGTATTTCCACAGGTATACAGCTGAGAAAGGCAAGAATAACTTGCCTATATCGTCCTTTGCTATAAGAATGTCTGAGTCTCAGAAATTACTTCATTCAGATTCCTATCAGATAGACGGAGAAACAGCTGTTAAATGTAGGTGTCAGAGAAAGTCCCCATGGTTTCTTTTAAGAGTGGAATTGTTTACCTCAATTGATTTTCTCTTCTGTATGAGTGAAAGAGATTCACTTTTTCAGCAGTATTATAATCCAGAACTACGCTAAAGCAATGTAAAGGAAGAAAAACAGAAATCTCATTTATTTGTCACAGTCACATCTCTACTTGCAAATGCTAGGTGGTGAGTTTAGATAAAAGACAGGCTTTTTATATGCCATCTCTTAGTCTTCCTACTTCAAAAGATACACAATCAACAATAGGACATCGATTTTTAGAGGTCTTTTTCTCTCAGAAAAGTTTATATTGTTCCACTACAATTACTTAATTAGTCTTTAGGGGAAAACCACATATGTTTCTTCAATTCATTATAGAATTATGGACTTGTTTTAGGAAATGAAAACGCTAAAATCCAATCAGAGACAAAAGAAATTTAAATGCATTTAATGCTTTTTATTGCACAACCATTTGTGGTGCTATGCCTGGTTTTGAAAATAATTGTATGATCTTTCTCTTCAAAGCATTACAGGGAAAATTAGCTTTGTAGTAGCTTATGTGCCTTAAGTATTCACAACAGGACTATTTCACTAGGGACTTATTAATGGATTTTTGATTGTCACACATTTCCATTGCTGCACTTATAGTCCCTGAATAGTTATCTATAAAATAAATGCAAGCTAGGAGTACTGTTTGTCAAATTAATGGAAACGAATAGTTGTTTGGTTACTGTTTTAATATATGTGTTGAAGGAAAGGAGGAAGGGAATGTGAAACTAGTTGTTAAATTTTGTAAATAAATGGGAATTTTGACATGCATCAGTTCGTTGTACTTTTGCAATGAAAACGAATCTCTTCACTTTAGGAGATCTACTCTCACCCTCCCCTCTATGAAAGCATACAAAGAGGCTCATAACACCCAATTAGCATAAAGAAACAAAGGGACAAAGAAGAGAAATAGCTCAAAAGGAAAGGAAAAGCATACATAACGAAATAAATCTAAATCTAGATTAATTAATTACCCAAAACAAAGTGACCAATTACAAATTAACTGAAGCTAAAACACTAAAACATTAAAGAACACCAAAACATTAAAGAATGCTAAATTGATAGATCAGGAAAGCAGGCAAAATGGAGCAAAAGTGGTCAGAACTAGCTTGTTCCAAAATCAGGGCATCAACTCCTAGTTGGTCACTTAAAACACAGACACGATCTGCCAGGTTGTCCAGCTTTTGACAATCAAGATGAATTCAAATGACAAGATCTGAAGCAGTTTAAATTTCAAGTCTTGAAAACCAGGTTGCCTAGAGACAACCAGTCGATGATGTATACAAATGAGATTGTGACATAGCTAGCACTTATGGCAGAGATGGGGATACTGATAGCTTAGCCATCAGTGAGTTCTTCTGAGCCAACTCACTCTAAAGGATACAATTAAAAGTGGAAACAATTGAAATAGGTGTTCTGTATGGACCAGGGATACATGGGAAAAGAACAGATATAGAGAG